TTCATATAGGTACGCATTATTCATATTACTGATTTTTGAATTAATTGAAAAATTTGTTGTGAGTAATTTTGAGAACGAATACAGGGTGTTCCACCTAAGACGATTTCGTCAATACCTCTCTTATTATACATTTAATAAAAAAAAATGTTTTTACAAAAGTGCATACGGAAAATACTTTCGGACATACAGGGTGTTCAATTTCTTCTGGAAACTATCTAACTTCATCATTTGCAAATGAAACACCCTATATATTTAATATTTTTTGTTTCCTTATTTAATTTTAAGTAGACTTTGTTAACAGTTTCTTATACCAATCTCCAGTAGTTTTTGAGATATTCAACTGTCTTTGAAAAAAAACCTGTGGTTTGGGCAATTCATTTTAGCATAAATTACTGTATCTTTTTTGCTACCGGTAAAATGTGTACGTTATCAGAGTTGGAAATATCGAAACCATTTTTTGGCAATCTTACAAGACGAATAACTTCTGTTTTTCAAATAGAATATTAAATGGTATCGTTCGATGCGAAATTAAAAGGCAATTCTACTGATATAAGGTTTTAAATATGAAATAATCGGCTTTTTCTGGAAAACTGTTAGAGATAATTATTATTTCAAAAGCAAGTTGAATATCTCAAAAATTACTAGAGATAGGTATAAGGAACTATTAACAAAGTCGACCTAAAATTAAAGAAGGAAACAAAAAATGTAAAAATACACAGGGTATTCCATTTGAAAAAAGGAAGTTATATAGCGTGTAGAAGGAATTGAACATCCTGTATGACTGAAAGTATTTTCTGTATATGCACTATATGATTCCAGATCACTTTTATAAGAACATCATTTTTATTAAATGTATAATAACAGAGTTATGGACGAAATTGACTTACTTGTATACCCCTTTTCCAATAGAGGATCTATTGGTTATTGTTTTCTTGTTTCCTAATAAACTATACTCGAAATCCGTTACAAGAACAAAGACTTGGTCAGTGGAAATAAGCTATATTTTGTATTAACATTAACTAAAAAAATATTTGAGATAACATTACCTCATACTTCATCATAGAATTTTTTAAACTTCTACACTTAATAGAAATATAATAAAGTGGTTAAAATACTGTATTTATAGTTTTATTTGGCACACATCGGTGGGGGTTTTCACCACTCACTAAAACGAGAAAAATTAGTCGTTGTTTCACGGGATTGTAATGTCCACTGGCCAAATAAAGAAAAAGACATCCATGAACAACGTGTACAAATACTTATGTATCAACCACCATATATTATAATACAGATTATCCGTCTTTCCTTTTTTCATTATGACGGAGTGATCCTAATTAATTTTCCCTTTTTTTTTTTTGGTTTAATAAAATCACAACACAGAGTTTCCGTTGACCATCGTTTGGCCAACTGTGATGGCACATGATAATTTATTTATGTATATGTATGTATGGATAAATGTAATGTTAAAAGCTGTTTAACATTACAGTTAGGTATGAATGTAGGTGTTGAATTATGTACAATGTGGCTCGTAATGAATGTATGCTTTATTAAAAGAAAAATATGATCTTTAAAAATGAATGTTTAAAAATGTGCAAATAGATTCTAAACGTTTTTGGGTAATTCTTGAAATCCTAAAAATTTGCAATAGGTCACCATGTACATAATACGTACCTACATATGGGATAATTGGATAAAACCTGTATGTAGTATGCATCATATTTATGTACAAGAAGCAGTAGGTAATAGGAAGTAAAATTCTTTTCATACATTTTGTTATTTACCGAATGAGATCAGCTTATATATATTCATATGTAATTAAATAATATACCTGATGTCTCAGAATTTGGTTTGGAGCTAATATTTAATTATTTAGTAAGATGAAATCAAAATGTTTTATATGCTATCTTCTAAATACACGTTTAAATTTAATTGGGACAACAGCCCTTATTAAGAAACCACCTCAGCTTTTCCTTAAATTGTGCCTCCAAGCTTTTTACTGAATATAAATCTTTGATATATAAAGCTTTTTATAAAACAAAAATGTTTTTAGTTCCAGCTTTTATCTAGTAAATCATAATGGGACTCTAGATGTTGTGTTTGTCGTTATTATTGGTGGTTTAATTTAGGTCATGACTTCCCTAGATTCTGTTATATTTCTACTGTCTAAGATTTTTACTGTTGTGAAAACCATCTGATTGGTTTTCTGGTGATATATAGAGAGTGTAATAATAACAACACTTATGAAGTATGTGTCGAGGTTGCAAGACACAAAACAATAATTTTATCAATAATTGTTACTTTCTAGCATTATTTACTGAAGTGAAACTTCTATATAGACGGGGTATTACTATTTTTCTGTCACGAAAAAGCGTTACGGCCGCGTGGAGGGGGTAGACGGTATATTGCTTGGTGAGAGGCGGCAGCGGCGGAGGGAGAGAAAGGCTGGCGGCTATATTAGATGTATATAATGCGCAGCCGCGCGGAGAGCGGGGAGTCTGCTAGAGTCCCGGCGGCTTGTGCTGTGCTTAGCTGTTGTTTTGTTACCTCTGCTCTACACGTGGCTGGGCATCATTGCCTCTATTTGCGGTCTGTGTAATAACCAAATCATAATTTGCAGTAAACCTGTGAAAACGAAATGTGTGCAAGGACACAGTAGAAGTGAAACTTCAAGGGACAAGTGGAAGAACGAATCGCAATAAAATTTTTACTTCAAGTCTTATGGGCAGATTGTTAATGTACTTGTCCAATTTAAAAATCGGACAAAATTTTTACGAGCAGGCTTTCAGATTGGACAAGTACAATCTGACCTTAAAACTTGAAATAAAAGTTCCGTTGCCATTCGTTTTCCTACTTGTCTTTTGAAGTTTCACTTCTACTATGTGTCCCAGCACACATTTCGGTTTTTTATTAAGATTGTTTTACCACAGGTTTTCCCATAAACATCTAATGTTTTGAAATTAAGTTTTCTTTTTGAAAATGAATTTAATATATTAGTTAAATATACGTATGAAACATCATCGTATTCAGATAATAAATTCATTCATATCCAGTAAAAATAAACTTTGGAGTGCAATTTAAGAAAGAAGTCTGGGGTGAGCTGTTTACAGCAGTACAAAATTAAATGATTTTTATTTCAGTCTTCTACATTAATGAGAATACTGAGACATAAGCTGTGAACCAAATTTTGAGATAACTGGTATTTAGTTATGTAAGGGTGTCCTTTGCCTCATACTAGTGCACTTCGATGTCTTTAGACTTTTTGAATATAAAGTTTAAGAATTTATATTTTAAATGTAAAGTAGTACATAGTAGCAGGAGTACCTGTAGCAGTAACAGTAGTAGTAGTAATAGTACGAGTAGTAGGTAGCATGTAGTAGTAGCGAACTGAATATTGTTGATTATATTCAGTTATCTTTTTATCAAAGGCACTAACGTTACCTTGAAGAGTAACGTGCACAACCCAGTAAGATACGTAATAATTACGACTATCTATTACACCTTATTTTTTTTTCATAAATGTTTGTATGAATGTATGTAATGTATTTACTATCCTACAACTTGTTCATATTTTCTATAGTAATAATAAGCGTCGACTGAGTACAGATTTGATTATTCATTCTTATTCATTTTCATTTCCGTTTTGATTATAGTTTTATTGAATTTTTTGTGTCTTTTGTTCTCTTCTCCGATAACTCGTCATCTTTACCTATTTGGGGTTTTACGTATTATTAATTTCTAAGACCACGTGCGTATCACCTTGTCGCCTTTTGCAGCGGAAGTGCTAGGTACTGAACGAGTTGGAAGGAAGTAGGTCGGCGGTTGCTGAATCTTTGTCTTTTCTTTTTGTCGAATCGGTGTCTGGTGGCCGATGGGATTTCATGTGGGCACTTCTACTTTTTATCTTAAAAAATATCCTGTAACAATAATTAATCGAATTAGAACAATTTTAAATATTAACTGGACAATAATAAAGAATATGTTCTTCAATGGAGTTTTGGTTAATGACCGGTGTAATTAATTAGTAATTGTTGGTGAAATAAATCTGGCTATGGTTATTTTGATAGGATGATGAATATTATGAATAAAAAATTATTAATAAATTAACTATAAAATTGTTTAAAAGGCGACGAATAGACTTGAAATGTACGTCATCTCATAAGAAATTGCCCATCGTGGCATAATGGGATCCGGGACATAAGCGACACTGTGCTTTTAATTGCAGAAACTTATATAATGACGGTGGGACATAAGCGACGCCCTTTAGGTAATTAAAAGTTATTCGTTATATATATATACTATGTATATAAAATTAGTAAGATATGAAATCAGCTTCCCTTCACACTTTGTAGGCTTTAGGACCGTCAGCTAAACGCCGGTGTGCTTAAAAGCTTTCCTTAGGTGCATAATTGTCGAAATTTATTTTTTTTTTTATTTCCCGTGGATGTGCCAACATATATTTTCATTTTTTAAAATTCGCTCTTGTCGGTAGGAATAAGCACTGTAAAGCGCTAACGGTTACCTTTTATTTGTTTCACCAAAATCAATTTTGCCTTCCATTATATGCAAATAAAGTTGTCAAACTATATCACCACTGATGCACTGAAAAGCTTTAAACTGAAATTAAATTTCTGAACTAAAATTCTGCATTTATGGGGTTTGTTATTGATCAACAGCCAATTGAAGTTGTTATTGTAATGAAGTAGGTATTTTCGTATAATTACCTTTATCTTATAAGACGCTTATCTACAATTAAATTAGGTAGTCCTGCTTCCAGCTATTTTGTTTATTTAGAGACAAGCAAACACCTATGGGTGAATTGCAGTTCAATTCAAGAAAATCTAGTTGTATATCATTATATTATTTGTTTAATTTATATATTGTATATTATAAACTTTTAGAGTTTCGCTTATGTTTCACCTAATTTTTATCCGTCTACTTGAACCGCAAACGTAACCCTCATTTATGCAACACTTATGAAGTATGTGTCTTGCNGGGTGAGCTGTTTACAGCAGTACAAAATTAAATGATTTTTATTTCAGTCTTCTACATTAATGAGAATACTGAGACATAAGCTGTGAACCAAATTTTGAGATAACTGGTATTTAGTTATGTAAGGGTGTCCTTTGCCTCATACTAGTGCACTTCGATGTCTTTAGACTTTTTGAATATAAAGTTTAAGAATTTATATTTTAAATGTAAAGTAGTACATAGTAGCAGGAGTACCTGTAGCAGTAACAGTAGTAGTAGTAATAGTACGAGTAGTAGGTAGCATGTAGTAGTAGCGAACTGAATATTGTTGATTATATTCAGTTATCTTTTTATCAAAGGCACTAACGTTACCTTGAAGAGTAACGTGCACAACCCAGTAAGATACGTAATAATTACGACTATCTATTACACCTTATTTTTTTTTCATAAATGTTTGTATGAATGTATGTAATGTATTTACTATCCTACAACTTGTTCATATTTTCTATAGTAATAATAAGCGTCGACTGAGTACAGATTTGATTATTCATTCTTATTCATTTTCATTTCCGTTTTGATTATAGTTTTATTGAATTTTTTGTGTCTTTTGTTCTCTTCTCCGATAACTCGTCATCTTTACCTATTTGGGGTTTTACGTATTATTAATTTCTAAGACCACGTGCGTATCACCTTGTCGCCTTTTGCAGCGGAAGTGCTAGGTACTGAACGAGTTGGAAGGAAGTAGGTCGGCGGTTGCTGAATCTTTGTCTTTTCTTTTTGTCGAATCGGTGTCTGGTGGCCGATGGGATTTCATGTGGGCACTTCTACTTTTTATCTTAAAAAATATCCTGTAACAATAATTAATCGAATTAGAACAATTTTAAATATTAACTGGACAATAATAAAGAATATGTTCTTCAATGGAGTTTTGGTTAATGACCGGTGTAATTAATTAGTAATTGTTGGTGAAATAAATCTGGCTATGGTTATTTTGATAGGATGATGAATATTATGAATAAAAAATTATTAATAAATTAACTATAAAATTGTTTAAAAGGCGACGAATAGACTTGAAATGTACGTCATCTCATAAGAAATTGCCCATCGTGGCATAATGGGATCCGGGACATAAGCGACACTGTGCTTTTAATTGCAGAAACTTATATAATGACGGTGGGACATAAGCGACGCCCTTTAGGTAATTAAAAGTTATTCGTTATATATATATACTATGTATATAAAATTAGTAAGATATGAAATCAGCTTCCCTTCACACTTTGTAGGCTTTAGGACCGTCAGCTAAACGCCGGTGTGCTTAAAAGCTTTCCTTAGGTGCATAATTGTCGAAATTTATTTTTTTTTTTATTTCCCGTGGATGTGCCAACATATATTTTCATTTTTTAAAATTCGCTCTTGTCGGTAGGAATAAGCACTGTAAAGCGCTAACGGTTACCTTTTATTTGTTTCACCAAAATCAATTTTGCCTTCCATTATATGCAAATAAAGTTGTCAAACTATATCACCACTGATGCACTGAAAAGCTTTAAACTGAAATTAAATTTCTGAACTAAAATTCTGCATTTATGGGGTTTGTTATTGATCAACAGCCAATTGAAGTTGTTATTGTAATGAAGTAGGTATTTTCGTATAATTACCTTTATCTTATAAGACGCTTATCTACAATTAAATTAGGTAGTCCTGCTTCCAGCTATTTTGTTTATTTAGAGACAAGCAAACACCTATGGGTGAATTGCAGTTCAAGAAAATCTAGTTGTATATCATTATATTATTTGTTTAATTTATATATTGTATATTATAAACTTTTAGAGTTTCGCTTATGTTTCACCTAATTTTTATCCGTCTACTTGAACCGCAAACGTAACCCTCATTTATGTGGAAAATGTTGCTTATGTCCCAGTGTCATTTTTGGTAATGTCGTTTTTGTCCTGACACTGGCATAATGCATCTCATACGGTACGCGAATTATAGAAATCGCACTTGACTAAATTTTTATACCAATGTGAAAATTCATTTTAATTTTTTCCCACTATAAACTACCTCAAGTTAATGAGGGAAAATTGTTGCTGTTGTCACACCCTCGCCGGGAATCGAACGCGGGACCTTTGACTTTACGCACCAATGCTCTGACCACTAAGTTCGACAGATAACTTAATAAGTACGGTTTGTCGTTGTTGCTGCTGTCACCTCTCGTAGCTTAGTGGTCAGAGCATTGGTGCGTCAAGCGGAAGGTACCGGGTTCGATTCTCGGCGAGGATGTGACAACAGTAATATTTTTCTCTCTGAGGTAGTTTAGTGGGAAAAAAATTAAAGCGAATTTTCACATTGGTATTTGATGTTAAGCCCTATTAAATGTCAAAGTGTTTCATAAATTTTTATATTTAATAGCAATTAGTATGTGGTAATAACATTGGCCGATTTACTGGTAAGTTCTTTGTATTGGTTTCCATTAATAAAATATTAACCGTTTGATAGATATGGTAATGAAGCTGCGCCATATTCTGATTAAATTTCAGAAGGTAATCGAAAGGCAAAACCCGTTAGAATTCTAGCAAAGTGTGTGTTCTGCTTGACCTTGTATTACAATGTTCTGGATTCAAGGTAGATACATATCTATTTATTGGGGACCGGTCTTCAGAATCGCTGTTTATTAAACAATTCCAACAATTAACTCTAAGCTAATTCTGGAGTAAATTATCAGCGAAGAACAAGACCGAATCTCAACGACATTATAGGATGTATTACTGCTTCGAGTTTGTCTTTGGATCTTAGTTTGAAATGTATTTGAATGACGAATGAGATTAGAATAGCTTTTTAGTAGAACAGAGGTAAACGAACGAAATTATTCTAATGTAATGTTTGATAGATTAACCGAATTCTTTTTCCACCAATATACGTTTGTTGTAAACAAATTTTTAAAAAGAAATATTTAATAAGAAAAAATATTAAAAAATAAACATTCAGATGTGTATGATACTGTCATTATTTTCAGAAAAGGCCATAGGACGATAAGCATAGTGAATCGGCCCCAGAGGGTATATCTGGATTATGTTTTGAGAGTATATTGGTACTAATGAGATACGTCAATTCTGAAAATTTTACACCTCTTTCTATTTTGGTTTTTGAATAAATCCAAAGAAACAAAAAATCAGAAAATATTTTTTTTCTCAAAAACGACTTAACTAACTTTAATGAAATTTATAGACATTATAGAGGTACATAAGGGCTATACTCGGAAAAAATAACAGCTCATAATCTTTATAATAATCATTAAAAACCAGCGATTTTTTCGGAAATATTTTTTTTTCTTTACGATAATGTTCTAGAACAGTTTTAAAATTATTTTAGTTATATTTTTTTCAATGTAGAATAACCTTTCAAATCGTTAAATCGATCAAAAAGGTACGCCATACTGAAAAACAATAAAAACAGATTTTTTTATATAAAAATCGATT